GCCCACGGTCCTGGAGGCAGCTGAGACCTCCCTGCGCTACCAGGCCTGGGGGCTGCTCACCCTCTGCTTGGATGTTTTCACCCGTGGCCTGACCCCAGAGACCGGCCTGGACGTGCTGGGCTTTGCTGTGGCTTATGGGCTGGCCCAGGTGAGACGTGTAGCAGAGGACTACATCCTGGCCACCTTCCCCAGTGTGGTGGCCACACCGGCCTTCCTGGATCTTCCCGCACACCTTCTCATCCGCCTCCTCCGCTCTGACAGTCTCAATGTCCTCAATGAGCTGGAGGCGTTGGAAGCAGCATCCCGGTGGCTTATGGCCAATGGAGAAGGCCAAGAGGATCTCGCCAAGGAAGTCCTGTCATCTGTTCGCTTTGCCCTCATGTCCGGCCGGGAGCTGAAGAAGGTCCCGTCGGTGACTGCAGGGGTAGCTGACCCGAAGGTCCTCCGTGAGCTCGTGGTAGCAAGTCTGGCTCCCATGGCCCAGCTGCCATGCCGGGTGCGTTCCTTGCAAGAGGTGCTGGTGGTTTGCGGTGGAGACAAACTGACGGCCAACCTGGCGGCTCGGAAGCCCAGCAGACACCTCTGGTTTGCCCACCGCTACCTCAGTGGTGTGGGGCTGGTGAAGCAGGTGGAGTGGCGGGCACTGGGGCACTTTCCTGATGGCCCACGCTTCCGCCACGCTGTAGCTGTGGTGGGCAACAACCTCTATGTCCTGGGTGGAAAGCGCTACTACGGAGTCCGTGACACCCTGAACAGTGTCTACAGGTGAGGGCTACAGAGGACCTAAGGTGGCATGTGGCACCAGGGCGTTGTGGGATCAGAGGAAGTGTTGGTGGAGCTGGAGCTGCCCCACGGACCCAAGGCATTGTGGCATTGCAGTTGGTCAAGTGGCCCCAAGGCATTCTGGGATCGGTTGGGTCTAGGACTGGGAGATGCCCTTCCACACTGGGATTTTACAGGTTTTTTGGGGGTAGGGCAGGGAGGATCCTATCTGGAGATGCCTCAGGGCATTACAGGTTTGGTATCACCCAGGAGGAGGGAATATTCCCATGCGAGAGCCCCAAGGCATTATGGGATTGGCTGGTAGTAGGTGGGTTGTTGCCCTCAGCAGTGCCAACATCACCCCATGGTATTGTAGGTAACGGGTGGTCTCTTGCTCCTTTACCTCTCAAACGCAGGTACCAGCCTATGGATGATTCCTGGGAGCACCTGGCCAGCATGACCTGTGGGCGGAGCAACTTTCCCGCTGTGGCACTTGGGGATTTCATCTATGCCCTGGGGGGCACCTCGGGGGAGCTCTACTGCACAGACACTGTGGAGTGCTATGACCTGGCCAACGACACCTGGAGGTGAGACTGCTCCATGTGGACACCTGCTTTCCTCTGCCCTAGCAGCCCCTTGCATTGGCTGGTGGTGCCCATTGAGTGGTCTTTGGGTCACTGAGCCCCCAATGGAGAATGGGCCTGCTACAGTGGCCTTTGGGAGAGGTCTACTGGGTGTTGAGCAGCCACGTCCTTTGGAGGTCATTGGGTGTTGGCCAGTGATGCCTGTTGGGTGGTGAATGAGTTTTTGGCCAATAGTATTCACCAAGGGTCTGTTGGCCATCTGTCAATGAGACAAATGATTTCAACATCTCCCAGCTATGTTCTGTTGGTGCTCTGTTGGGTGTTGGCCAATACTGTCGATTAGGGAGTCCATTGTGACCAATGGTGTCTTTTGGGGTCTACAAAGCATTGAACAGTGATGGCCCTTGGGCATCCATTATGTGTTAGCTGATGCTGCCTACTGGGGCTCATTGGTTGCTGGCCGGCATTGCCTGCTGAGTGGTCAATGGAGCCATGGCTCACGAGGGAACTCCTGGGCAGCCAGTCACCATGGGGCAGCCCTGCTTAACCTGCCCTTTTTTTTCCTGCCCTTCTCCCCCCCCCTCTCTCCTTGCCCAGGAGCTGCCAGCCTCTGCCGATGGCTCTATGCGGGCACGCAGCGTGTGCCCTGGATGGTGCCCTCTACATCTCCGGGGGCTGTGATGCAGCGTGCCAGTGCCAGGCAGCCATGCTGCGCTACGTCCCAGGTACGCCTGCCACAGTCCTGGCCCCTATGAATGGCCAACGAGCAGGGCACATCATGGAGGAGGCAGGTGGGCAGCTCTATGTGGCCGGGGGGCTGTGCCAGCAGGACGGGCAGACTGGCTACAGGGACCAGCTGGCGTTTGAAGTCTACAGCCCCAAGATGGACATCTGGGTCCTCCTCAGCCCCCTGCCCCATGCCCATGTAGTTGGGGGGCCAGCCGTGCTGGGGGGTGAGCTGCTCGTACTGGGAGGGTACAGCCATGAGACCTACCGGGACACCCACTTGATCCACGCCTACCAGCCGGGCACCCGGCGCTGGATCACCCGGGGCACCTTGCCTCATGCCTATACTGACCTCCAGGCTTGTGTCCTCACTGTACCCTCTGCCTTGCGTGGGCCCAAATGCCTTGAGGGTCCGCCGAGGTCACCTGACACCTGCAATAATATTTAGGGGGGCTTAAAAGCTCTGCACCCCATACTGGCATCCCCATGTAGCATCCATGGGCACCTCTATGGGCCAAAGTCGCCTCCAGATCCCTTCCCCAGAATAGGTTCCTCCTGTGTTTTCCAGCATTCCCCCACCCTCAGGGTACATGACCCAGACAGTGGGGACCCCATGGGACACAAAGGCTTTCCACACCACAACCCCATGCCTCCAGGAATACTCACTCCCCTGCCCTGACCCTTCCACTGGGAGCTGGAGATCCCCCAACTTCCCCCCACACTTGGGTTGAATAAAAGTGGCTCCTGCACTGCCCATCTGGGCCTTGTGGTTTCTGCCGGGGAGCCCAGACATCCAGGTGCTTCTTTCAAGGAAGAGGAGGGGAGCAAGAGACCAACGGCCTGGGTGTCCTGGATGGGTGGTTGTGGGTGCCAGGATTGTCTGAATTCCTGGGTCCCCTGCGCAGTGGAGGGTGGAAGGTGCCGGGGCTCCACAGACACGCAGACAAAAGCTTACGAACGCAGAGCGTGTGTGCCCACAGACGCACTAGCACACGACTAGCAGACTGGAAGAATGCTCAGCCCAGCTGGCCAAGCACAGGCACTTGTTCCCTTCTGTGGACCAGTTCATTGACGTGGCAGAAGGCCTGCTGACCCACACTAGCTGGACGATATGTTTGAGACAGAACCGGAAAGGTGTTTGAGTCTGAAAAAGTGATTCGTATGATCAGCTGCTGCATTGTGCACCAGTGCTGGGGCCTGCCATCGACCCCCACCAATAATGACCTCTGTCTCCTTCTCACACCTCCTAAAATGTTTGGGTGACTTCCGCACAGATGGTCACAACATTTGACCAGCCCCTGGCGATGTTTGTCCCAGTGTGATCTCTTACAAGGCACATCCATCTCCCTCTGAAGCCTCCCACATTTCCAACCATCCCACAGTGGGTCATGCAGAGGCATCGATCTCTACCACTGCCTGGAGTTATTACATGACAGTGGGACGTGTAGTGGGATGCTTTTCCCACGTGATTCAATCCCACAGTGAAGGATCATACATGTGGGGCGAAAGTCAGGAAGCTGGGTGTAAGAGGACTTTTCCTTGCTATCTTGACTATTCCAGGTACTGAAGATGAGTTTGTCACGCACTGTACCCTGCCAGGACTATGGGAGATACATGAAATGAAACTAGCACCCATTTGAAATTCAGGCCAAGAGAACATTTATTCAGTGATTAACAACCTGGCACTGAGTTGAAAGCGTGGCGCAGCTTTACGTGCATCACTCAGACAGAAGCAGCTGGGACACAAAGTACAAAGCAAGCTCTGCTTTCCCCCATACACCCCACACCAGACAGTGTTAGCCCCAAACTGTCACTGACCAGTTCAGGACCTCTTCTGCCCTTGCCAACTGCCCAGGTAATTATTTCAGGTCTAGCAACATCAGAGTGTGTGAGAGCAATAGTAGGGGAAGGAGATAGATGGCTTCCCCCTGGGCAAGCAGATCTGTCCCTTGCAAAACAAGGGAACGTGAAGCAGAGCCATGAGCCTCCATCTCTTTCTCTGAACGTACAGAAGCATTTACAAGGTGTTGCCAGCATATTTCACTCTGACATACCCAATGGCCTTGACACCCCTGTCCAGGCTGTAAGCGGACGGGGTCCTCAGGGAGCTGAGGTTTGTGGCCAGCTTCCTGGAGAAAGACTTGAACGAGGCATTCAGAGGACGGCAGTGGACCCACACCTTCTTGGTGGTGCAGAAGGAGGAACCTGTGGGAGGATTGCGCTGCACCCCCAGGTCTTTAATTGTGCAGTAAATGACCTCAGGGCACAACTCTACTTCCTTGATGGTACAGAACGTGGGGCGCTGGAGGGGGCTTTTGAAGCTGCTGAGATGCATCCCAGGGCTTCCTGTGGACTCCCTCCAGCTCAGCAGCGGATACTGCACCTCTTGGGTCTGCAGGGACTTGAACCAGGACCGTCCCACCAAACAAATCCATGCCAGCCAGCCTGCTAGAGCCAGCACGGGCAGGACCAGCAGAGTCAAGGAGGCCAGGTAGAGCACCCAGTGCAATAGACAACAATGCCGCAGCACCCACTGCCCCCACTGCGGACCCTCCCCACCTGCCCGCGAGTGCAGCAGAGGTACGGCCAGCCCTGGGTTGGAGCAGGGGCAGAGGGGGAGAGATGCAGGTGGAGGGGAAGGCGTAGGCTGGGTGAAGCGTGTGGTGTCCGGGGGAGCTGGTGTTGCTGGGTTGTGAGTGGAAAGCGTGGTGGTGGAGACCACTGGTGTGGTTGACATCAGGGGAGGAGATGAAGCTCTGACAATGGAGGAGGCCTCTGGCGTGGCAGCAGAAGGCACTGCCATGGAGGTGGTGGAAAGCACGCTAGTGGGTACGGTGAGAGCGGCATAGGTGTTGGTAGCTCTGGTGGCGAGGGTGGTTTGGGGACGGCTGCTGGTGCTGGGAATTCTGGTGCTTGTAGTGGTTGGCAGTGAGGTGGTGGAGATGAGGGCGGTGGATCTGTGCAGGGTGCTGGCGGGAGCAGCAATGAGGGCGGTGGAAGTGCCAGGGGTCTGGGTGGGGGGGACAGTGGGCCTGGCTGGCACAGGAGTGGTGGTGCTGGGAGCTCTGGTGCTTCCAGGCATTGCAACTGACGGTGAGGGTTGAGGTACAAGGGGTGCTGAGGGGAGGTCTTGTGGGAGCAGGGGGAGGCTGGGTAACAGCACGGGGCATGATAGTGTGCTCTTTGGGGATGGATGGATGCGGGGGCAAGGGGGTGATCATGGTAGCTTTCACCATTGTTTCTTCCCCATCATCGTATTCATCCTCTTCCTCCTCATCTGCATCCCCCACGTTGCCACAGCTGGGCTTGAAGCGGATGACGGGCCTCTGCCAATGCTCAGGGGGGCTGTGGCACAACACCTTCTCAGGGGCAACCTCCACCTTTGTCTCGTTCAGGCCCCGCTCAGGCTGATAGACGCTGCCTTCATTCTCCCGGATCCAGGCCCGCAGGTAGCGCAGGTTGCAGTCGCAGTGCCAGGGGTTCTCCGTGAGGAAGACGTACGCGAAGAGGTGCCCCTCAGGGAAGAAGTCGGTGGGCAGGGTCTGCAGGCGGTTGCCTGAGAGCCAGAGGGTCTCCAGCTTGTGCAAATCCTGCAGCAGCTCCTTGGGGAGCTCCTCCAGGAGGTTGTCTGAGAGGTCCAAGTCCTTGAGTGCCCTCAGCCCTGCAAAGGCCTCCGAGGGCAGTGTCCGGAGCTGGTTCCCTCGCAGGTC